CAGCCCTAACTTTAATGGCTGAGGCTACTGAGGCCTAGACAACACAAGTAAGGTGACTCATCTGAGGACATGCAGTAAGTTAAGAATAAAACCAGGACTTAGAACTCAGGTGTCCTAAACAGAGTCAGCATTAATGTTAGGCAAGATAGCTACCAAGGATACAATAGGAAGGAAGGCATAAGAGGCAATTTTAAACACCATTTTAAATAAGCATCTTAAAGACCAGAAAATTATAATCTCTAGGGCGTGCAAGTATTTATTTTCTGGTCAGTTAAGTTACAAGCATTACAGAGAAACCTCAAAGACTGGTGGACCGTAACGAACCTTTGAAGGGCTGCAACGATGAGGGTAAACAGGCTTTATTTTAAAAAAAATCTGTCTGTAGAATACTACCCAGTTCAAAGAAAACAATAGAAATCTTTCTGTAAAATTACTCTTTGTTATGAAATATTTTGTTTGTGGAAAGAATAAAAGAGCTGGAAGTATAATGTGTATAGAGAAGACATTTGTCATCCAATCCAATGCACTACCTTCCTTTAGGGTCAAGATACTGACAATTTTAACTTATGTGCCTGCTGAGGTGCATTTGTTCCCTTTATCTTCATGTAATATTTCCAGATAATTGGGAAGATAAACATCATTTTAAAGTATAGATAACTCTAGATTTAAAAGTATGTTCTTTAAAAACTTGATTTAGGAAAATTGACTCATCCTGACCATTGGGCACAGTCCTTACTAGGACAAATCTCCAATATCAAAGCAAGCAAGGAAAATGAGTATCATTATTAGGTTACTGGCTTCCCAATGGATACTGAATGTTTCCCTGCAAATAAAAGAAATCTTTTTTTTCTTTTCTCACATCTTCTGGAAGTAAGAGAGGAAGGAAGGAAGGAAAGGAAAACATTTAAGTTCTTACTACATGCTGAAAGAAGCAGTTAGGTAGCTCGGATGTAGGACCTGATTCCTGCTTTAGATACTTCCCAGCTGTGTGACCCTGGGCAAGTCACTTAATCTTTCTGTGCTTTAGTTCCCTCAACTGTAGAATAGGGATAATAATAGCACCTAACTCACCGTTTTACTGAGGGAATCAATGAATTAACATATGTGAAGCTCACCAGAGCCATAACTAAAAAATGTTGGCGCCCAGGACAGATAGCCATTGCCCTAAGCCAGTAGTACGAAGTTGGGAGGGTGGCTCAAAATTCCCTCTCCCATCAGCTTTGTAATTCATACTGTGAAAATAATATCCCCCCCAAAAAAAATAAAGTAATGAAGAGAAAATCTGTTTGGGAGGGGGAGAATTAACTACTTTTTTGTGACTTTGGAGATAAAATCTCATAAATTGGAAAGAGCCTCATTGGTTCCATTTAGTAGAACACATAAGAATATATGGGTCATATATTCTTTCCAGGGGTAGGTAGGTGGTGCAGTGGATAGACAGCTTGGCCTGGAGTGAGGAAGACTCATCTTTCTGAGTTCAAACCTAGCCTCAGACACTTACTAGCTGTGTGACCCCAGACAAGTCACTTAACCTTGCTTGCCTCAGTTTCCTTATCTATAAGATAAGCTGTAGAAGGAAATGGCAAACCACTCCAGTATCTGCCAATAAAACCCCAAATGGGCTCATGAAGAGTTGGACATGATTAAAACAACTGAACAACAAAATATTCTTTCTACTCCACCTGAGAGACTTTGATGAGGCTCCCATCTGTGCGGGGTGTGGCAGGTGGCAGGAGATCATTACTTATCCTTGGTAGGAAAATGCTGCTTTTGAAGGGTTGGCAAGATGGATGTTTATTTGATTCCTTCATAAGGAGAAAAAGAATTTAGATAATCCATAATCCATAACTATCTAAGTGGACATTCATTTTAATCAGCCACATAGAATTTAATCTAATAGTGTCTCTGGCTTACAGTGCACTCCTGGGACTATTAGCCAATGACACCACCCATGCCCTGTACCCCTCATGCACACTCCCTCACCTGCTATGTCAAAGTTTAGTATCCTCTGGTCCTGAAAGGCCTTTAGAGGGAAATGCCATTTGTAAGAATTAAATTTTGATCATTTGAAATGTTATGATTCATCAAAATGGTTATCCCATTCACTGATGCTTATCATTGCTTCTCTGTAACATAAATTATTTCAGTTCTGCAAGGACTATATTAGGAAAAATAACTAAAATGAGTATGTACACCAGTAGCATTGAAAGAACTGTACTCTGTTCTATACATTATAGCCAATATTTGGTACTGTTGGATTTCCAGGACTACTGTGGTTCTGGTCCAAATTCCAGGGACCTTAGAGGCTTTAAAGCAGAGATATGTATATAAATGTTTAACAACTGAATCTCTGGGGGATGGAGGGAGTATGTATAATATACTTTTAAGTTTAATCTACATTATTAACATTTTCTCTATCATTTTCATAAGTCTAAAAAAAAAGCAAAACAACAAATCAAGACACAATTTGTAGCATTCACCAATTTCAGAGGTATAAATGCTGACATTGAAAATTTAGCAATCATCTCCTGAAAGCCAGCTCAAGGTGGCTTCAGTATACTCCTGCTCTTTAAATCTATACAACTCCTGGACTAAATTAATCATTCTCCCAAGAAGTATCTACTGGTACTATTAATCATGGCTGAGTTGTTAGGTAGCTCTCAAAGTCCAGTCCAAATGGCCCTGGAAGAGTCAGACAACAAATTCTCATTCATTTACCCCTCAGCTACTAAAAATTGGAGTTAGTCTTCACCTTGTGGGGATAAATTCAAAAAGAAATGTATCTTTGAAAACTTTGTGTAGTAGGAAGTTTTATTCTTGCATGAACTGGTTCCAGATTAACATGGGTGGCAGAAGGCCAACAAATTCTGACCCTTAGGCAGTATTTCATCTTTTTTCTAAGCCCTTGTCCACTTCTGAAACTAATTATTACCTTTAGGAAGGAAGGAAAGTATTACAGATTAAAATACAATTCATTGAGAATCAGGCCCAATTCTGCCACCAACTAGTGAGTCCTTGAGCAAATTTCTGTTATTGTTGTTGCTGTCATTCAGTCATTTAGTTGTGCCTAACTCTTCATGACCCTGTAGACCATACTGTCTAAGGGGTTTTCTTGGCAAAGACACTGGAGTGGTTTGCCATTTCCTTCTCCAGTGGATTAAGGCAAAAAAAACAGTTAATCGACCTATTCAGGGTCATGCAGCTAGTATGTGTCTGAAGCCAGATTTGAACCCAAATCTTCCTGACTCCAGACCCAGTGCTTTATCCAAAGCCCTTTGGCTGCCTCAATAATTTGAGCAAGTTATGCCACCTAATTTCTGTGGGCTTCAATTTCTTCAGGTGTTAGATGAAGAGGGTTGACCACTACAAGGTCGTTCCTCCAGGTCCAGCTGCCTTCAACCTAAACCTCTAGCCCCTTCCTTGCAGGGCCATAAGCATTGTCTTCTAAATCCTCCAGAAATTCCTACCCGTTCCTAGGCTTCTACTTCTTTGATGACGTCTGGCCCTGCCTTGGGTGTAGCATGTCCTCCTTAGGTGTGGTTACCTTTCTCCCCAGAGCTGAAGGAAAGTATACTCCAGGCTGGGAAGGGGTGGGGGAAAGCATCCTGTAGAAGCTGCCTAAAAAGAGTGGAGTGAAAGTGGTCTGCAAGTCTGGTGAGGTTGCACTGGCCCTGAAGAAAATGAGGCTTTAGTGGGGCTGTAAGCCCTAGGCTTCAGTCAAGGGCACCATGACTTCCATGAATTCCTGAAGCACAGGAAAGGCAGCAGATCAAGAGACTAAAAGGACAACAATCTGACCCTCCTGAAGCCAAGGCTGGGCCAGTATCTGTGTGAGAGGCTCTCCCTGCTATGTCTGATGCTCTGCCTGCCCTACCTGGGGCTCTCTTGAATCTGTGGCCCTGGTCCCAGCCCTGAACTTGAAACCATATCCAAATAACAAAGCACTTTGTGTGTATTTGGTGTGTGGGGCTGGGGACTGGGGGGGAGGGAGGGGAAAGGATGCAAACAAATGAATAATGAATAAACAAAAAAATGAAAAGGATATGGATTAAATGAGCTTTAAAGTCCTTACAACCATAAAAATACCAAGTTTTTGTGGAGGGGTTACAGCTATGATTTGAAGGTAGTAAAGGATGTGCTATAATAAGGAAACTTCTACCTGGGATATGGAGCAACTTGAATCTAGCCACAGTTAAAAGCTAAGAAAAAGTGAGAGGAGAGGTCATAAAAAGGAAAAACAGACTAGGACAGGGGACACAGAAGTGAGAGGTGACAATATATGGGTTGTGTACAATCTGCTGGCGAAAACCTTTGAAATCAGCGTCTAAATATTTGTGCGACAGCTCATAGTAGATAGAGTGTCCTGGAGTCAGGAAGACCTGGGTAAAAAATCTGGCCTCAGACACCTGCTAGCTGTGTGACCCTGGGCAAGTCATTTAAGCCTGTTTGCCTCGATTTCCTCATCTGAAAAATTATCTGAATAAGAAGATGGCAAAGCACTCCAGTATCTTTGGAAAGATAACTCCAAATGGGGTCATGAGAAATCAGACACAACCAAAATGATTGAACAACAACAACAAATACTAGTATTAATCAATGTACTTTTAGTTTCCCATCCTCTATGTTGGTTCACCTTTAAGCTTGACCTCAAATGAATTTTTAGATAAAAAGAAAAAAGAAAAATTTCACTGCCAAAATGAAATGAAGGCATAAGACAGATACAAACTTCTTTATAAATAAACTACATTTTGTTATGAGTTTTGCCTTTCTTGAAGATAGATACATATCATTTCTGGGAGACTAGTCTGTGCTGACTCAGAAGGGACAATACCACCCCCTGATTCACAAATGCATCACTTCCCAGAACACAGAAAGGAGTTCCTGGGATGCTGAAATCACAATTGTTTTCTAACATTTTTAATTGGCCAGAACCAGGAAATTTTTACTTCCTTACAAAAAGTTTTGACATATGATTCTTCATTTCAAACTACACTGTTGGTTAAAGTTGCCTATTCCTGACTTGTTAAACTAGTTTTAGGTTAAATCCTTCTGTACCCTTACTTTAGTCAGTGTACAAGCCTCATATAATGCACAAGATGTCACTCACTTGATTGGGAATGTAAGAGCAGCAGAAAGGTGGAGGAGACGAAGCCATTCTTGGCAGGGCAAAATGTATCAGTAAGTTTCATTTGTTTTCTTTTTTGATAGATATGTTTACAAGCACTTAATGGATTTCTAACTGTAAAGTTTTTAAGCTTATGAACTGGAACATTTTTCCTACTTTTCTTGTGGGAAAATTCTGACAATTTCTTGGTATACATTTTATGTTAATGGAAATAAATGGTGCTCAGGATATTACCTTTAAGAATTGGAAAATTGAATGTAGTGTGGTATTTGTGTGACAGTGACAGACAGAAAGGGGAGGGACAGAGAAATAATGACATAGACATAGAGAAGAGAGATATGAAAAAAGACGGTATATTTGTAGCATGAAGAAAAAATTCCTCATTCTTTTCCCTAAGCAAACAATAGAAGTTAAATGAATCTTGGGTTGCGTTTTCTTAATTCTAATCCATGAAAGAGTGGTTTACTCAAGGGAGGAGGGCACAGAGTTATTGTAAATATTGTTACAGTTAAATCTTTATTTCGATATTTAAAAATAATAAAATGATACATTGGATAGTAATTCGGCAAAACTTTTTACAAGAAACTCTTGCCATAAGAAATCATATGCATTTGTAATTTTATATATCAAACAAAAAGAGCATTCTACCATAAAGTCTTCTTTCTCATAAGTAAAATTAAATAAAATGAAAAAATGGGAGGCAAATATCTGATTCACTAAAATTTATATTTAAGTAATTTAAAAATAATTTTACTGGAAATTGTCTACAACAATTTTCTTTAATTTCTAATTCTTCCCTGTTCTTTTTCCATCATAGTAAAACTGATGTAGTTTAGTCATCCTTAGAAAATGAATTTCTCATTCATTATTATGACAACAACAGAGTGAGGGACTGAATTATCACATCTTCTTGATCTTACTGCTTAACTGACATTTAATGTAGAGAGGCAAATAACTGCTGGATTTTTTTTGACACTTATTTAAGCATCTTTAGGGTTCTTGCACATAATCATCCTATAGAAACTTTACTAATCTGTCTCTTTGTCTATCAGTGTTTGACCCAACGTCTCTCCCTTACTATTTTCATACCTTAGTACCCCTGCTTCTAGGTTTCAAGACACAAATACTCTCTCTACCTTTTTTTTTAAAAATTCTAAATCTAGATTTTAAACATGCCAGAACTAACAATGAATACAGAACTAAACTTTAAATTTTTTTATTTATGGGCAAAAAATTGATCAAAAATAAATTAAAACAATTTTTTTGAAAGACAGGCATGGGATTTTTTTTAAAAAGTTGTACTTTGTATGCATTTCAAGTTATAATAGAAACCCTAGACCTTATTAAATAAAAAAGAACTTTTTTGGCTCCATTTTATAAACAATTAAATGTGAAAGATATCTAGGAGAAAGAGAAGGATCCAGAAAGAGAGTAGCATTGAGGTCACAGGAGGAGGGGTGACATGAAGACAGGATGGGGAAGGAAATGATGGAGACTGAGGAATTGGAAAAGGCCGACACGTACGGCCCTTTAAGTCTTCCCTGCCCCATGGCAATACACTTAGGCCCCTGCTTCCCTCTATTTGCTTCAGTCTATCTTCCTATTTACACTTCAGTACATAAAGAGATCCATTATTTCATCAGTGTGAATAATATTCCCTCTACTGATATTTATTGGAAAAATCTTCATGACTCAAGAGATGGTTTCATGATTTGCTTTGTCCAAAAAAAAAAAAAAATCACCTGATGGCCAGCTGCTGCAAATTTAGGCTGGTCTTCGAACACAATCAGTTCCTAGGCTTATATCTGAAGATGTTTTAGCTTGAACCTGTCAGTTTACATTTCATATCCTTTGAGAAGTCAAGGTTACCTCCTCATCACAATGAGACATTAGGAAAGGACGATGTAAACGACCTGGCCCTAAACCTTACCAAACCACATCAGCTTCCCTAGCTCAGTAGCATTTTATGAGAATGTACCCAGGTAACATTCATATGCCCCAAGCCCCAAGGTCTTACTCCTTTCTCTCCTCACTGAACCCCATCTTGAGGCAGAACCTCCTTACTTTCTGGATCCTTGAGCTTACTTGGTTCCTTGGGTATGGAGATGTGCTGCACCCAATCCAAAATAATCTTATTTCCTTCTTTTGCTACTGGCAGGCTACTTAATATGCATTCCTTTTCCCCCTTCTTAACCCCATCTGCCTCATACTCCAAACCACAAGAGTACATCTACTGAGGTTTATTCGCAAAGGAAAAGAGGATATACATGTAAGGGGTGTGTCTGGGGTTGCCTTGTAGGTTATGTGTTTATTAATGGGTCTTTCTAGATTTGTTCAAAGGGACACATAAATAGATATCCTCCACCCACCCTCATCCAAAGGAGACTTTGAGTCATGCTAGGAGGAAAAATTCAAGCCAAAATACAATTCATCCCCAAAGTTCACAAAAGGTAATCTTTTTCATTACAGGCTTATTTAAAAGTTTACCAAACGTCCTTCTATGTGTCCCAAATTCCTTGAAAAACTTTCAAGTGAGACACTAACTCAGATGAAGGACCCCCAATTCTAATTATTGGTTTTTGTGTCATTTTTAAGATACCACATAAATTATATTTGCCCTGCTTAATATTTAATTTGTCCATGATCTTTTATAGGGATTTCCCCGCTCTTACTACTTGAACTACTTTCCCATTTTTTAACAGTTTCTATTTCCCTCATACAGAAACATCTTTCACTTTGCTAGTTAGCCATTCTAAGTAATGTTTCAAGTTCCTGATATACCTGTTCCTTAACACATTTATCCTGATCTTCCAATAAGGAGCTTGTAAATAGTCTCAAGGTTTTGTGGACTTGTAAAACTGTTTTTCATTTTCCTTTCTATTTTTCTTTTTTCTCAAAGTGGAATAATTATGGGATGGATTTTTAAAATAATTCCTTCTACAAGATAGACAGAACTTTTAAAAGTAATTACTAGAGATACAAACACAACCAAGCAACACAGTCTCTGCTCTTGTAGAACTTATATTCTAATGGGGGATAACAATACATAAAGGGGAGCTCTAAGGGGGTGCTACACAGCATGATTTGGAGATGGCCAGATAATGGTTTGGAGGCCTGGCTACAGGCAAGATCCTCCTAGACAAGACATTAAGAGGAGTTGATGTTGAGATTAATAATGCTTTTGTCTGTGCCTTGTCCACAGAGAAAATTATACTTGTTCATGGAATAATAATAGCTTATATTTATATTGCATTTTGAGGTTTACAAAGCCTTTTACCTTTTCCTTAGAACCCTCCTAAAAGATAGGTAGTACAAATTTTTTTTTGATAGATAAGAAAATTGTCTTAGTCAGTTGCCCAGCCTGATAGAATTAAGCAAGTTATAGGAGCTAAGATTTGAATCCAGGTCCTTCCTGGCTTCAAGTCTTACACTCTATTACATTATACTGCTTCTCAATGACACCTCATTTGGTGGGTTTTTAGATCTTTGACTCCAAAGATTTAAATCCATGTTGTGTTTCTTACAATGATCAGCATAAATGAGTTTTGTCAGCTGGAAAAAATGTAGTCAAGGGCTCACATTTAGCTTGAGAAAATTTGTTGGAGCCAAATTAAATTAGTTCAAAGGCCAGATACTACCTTTGAACTGCAAATTCCTTTACCCCTCCTCTAATAGTAATTTGACCCTAAGCAGTCATCATGATACCATGAGAGGAGAATTAAACATGAGAGGAAGTATAAGGGTGCAAAAGAAGTTAAATGCCTTCTCCCTCAATGGAATAAGAGCCAGAAATATTCTAGAAGGATCATAATCCCAAGGTAAATATAATTCAATCATGTTCTTCACAGAATTACATAATTTTATAGTTGAAAAGAACTTTGGATAGCATTTAGAAGATAACAATAAGAATAGAGCTTTGAATTCATACCTTATAAGGATTGGTTGAAGGAATTGAGTATATTAAGTCTGGAGAAAAGAAGCCTGGTAGACTAGAAAGAATGATATATTGGGGGCAGGGGACAATTATTGGAAGAGTTGTCACCTAGATGATGGATTACACTTGTTCACTTTAGTGCCAGAGGGCAAAAGAACAGCAATGGATAAGAGATGATGACAGAAAAATGTAGACTTTCTAATAATTATACCTACCCCAAAGTAGAATAAGCAGCCTCAGGAAGTAGGGAGTGTCTTCTCATTGGAAGTCTTAAAACAAAATCTAGATTATCACTTACTGAGTGTGATATAGGAGGAATTCTTTTTCAGATATGGTTGAAAAAGATGGCCATTGAGATCCTTCAATTCTGAAATTTGAATAAGGATGAGGAGAGAAAGGGAGAAAGAAAATCATTTATTTCCAGAGAGTAAAAATGACTTGCCCAAGGTTTTACACAGTTAATGACATAACCTATATGAAAACTGAAGTAATGCAATTCCAGAATCACAGAATCTGAACACTAGAAAGGATAAAAGAGATCCTTTCCTTTCCATATACATATATGTATGTTTATGTATATCTGTGTGTATATATATGTTATGTACATGTATGTGTATATATATGCACACACGGAGAGAGACATGTTCCTACAAGTGTTATTAATGTGGACTAGTTATAGTGCTGCTTTTAGGTACTAATAAAATTAGCCTTGAGAGTCAGAAATTGCATGTATCAGAGCCTGTCCACCATCAAACTTTTTTAATTACAGTTTCATGGCTTACTATGCTCCATTGGTGTCCATACAATGTCAAAGGATTGCAAGCCCCCAAACACACTGGGTAGCTTCATGTGAGGATAAGCATTCAATCTGCTCCCAAGATGATTTCTGAAACTTTTCCAGCTTGCTAGGATCTGCCACAGCTTGTGCTGTGAGGTATAGAGCCTTCAAAAACTCATTGTGATCTCCATGCCAGGTTGAATTATTGGGAAAAGTCTTTAGTGGAAGATTAACAGTTAATCAGTGATATAATTATTCACTCACACTTGTTCTCTTTCAGAAAAAAAAATATACTTGGAGTCAATGGTCTTACTATCAACTGTGGGATTTTCCAGACCTATGGTTTTCTTGAACTCATTCATCAATTCCACTGAGCCATGAGAATCAGTCCTCTGGCAATACTCCTAGATCCCCAGGTCAAGTAGTGAGGTGCTTTGTTCTTGGCTGAGGTGAACCTTTCTGAGCCCCCTGCAGTATAGCAATTATGAGTTAGACCAGATTTTCTCTGAAATCTCTTCTTATTCTAAGATTCTGAGACCAGCCATAATTAGATTGTCAAAAATTTTTAAAAATCTATATTTATAAACATGATTTCTGTCCCTGTTTATCATATATTTCACCAATGAATCACCTGATTGGCGAAGAGGCTGACAAAGAAACAAGGTTTATATAATTTATTGGTATTTTTTCTTCTAGGTGTCATATTAACTTCAGCTTTCCCAGTAGGCTCTAAGGTCATGTTAGAAGTAGTTGAAAATTCCTTTCTTTGGTGGATTTGTGATCATATCAACCTGGATATTACCTATACCAAAGAACCTATTATGCTTTCTCATTCTGTGTTTAATCCTTGTCCATGTGCTTTGGTTTAAAAAAAAAAAAAGAAGATCAACATGATGGAGGCCTTCCTCTGGTTATTTTAATATTTTTATTGATAAATGTGCAACTCGGGTTACTTATTAACCTTGTTTTCAATACAAGACTGGTCTGTCTTCTTTTCCAGTCATGTATTTCATAGATCTTTTTTTTCATATCACTTCTTGTGATCAAGTAACCACTAATAATATTCTACAGTCTACTTATATTCACCAAGCATCTTTTCATTAACCTCTGAGCTACCTGTGATTTTTATTCTTCAGAGACTGTAATGTTCCTTAATTAGAAGTTAAATGTAAGAGAATATTGATGTAAAAAAGATGTGTTTTTAGGGCAAGGGGTAGCTTAGAGTCATGAAAAGAGCTATGCAGTTCCCCAACTTGGATATAGCTCTGTCTTATACCTAGCCAATTCTGGACTCAGCTTCTTGTCCATCTGCAGAGGGCAAGAATATTGGCCAAATTACACACATCCCACACACATTTACATATACATACACACATACATATATGTATACATGCATACACATATACATTATATATATATATATATATATACATGCATACATTTGTATATGTATACCCAACAGTATACCACTCATTAGGTATGTGACTAAGGAAAATCACCACTATAAGATGAAGGACTGGACTAGCAGACCTTTAAGTTGCCTTCCAAATATGAAATTCTATGATTCTAAATAGGATTTCAAACATTTACCTACTTGTGTCTATTATAATTCTCAAATCTGTGAATTTTTTAAATTGCTCTTTAACTCAGAAACCTAAGAAATGGCAAACTGGACAGACTACATACAAGGATGTTGTATTCATGGACTCCAGAAGCAGTTATAGAGCAGATTAAGAACAAAATACTTTCTAGTTTCCTAGTGACAGGAGAGGATGGAATAAACTCTTTTCAGTTATATTGGCTTTAACTGGATGGTATCACTGCATGTGTTGATGAAGATTGGCAGTGGATTCATGAAACATTTCCTTTGTTGATTTTCTATAAAAAAAGGAAGTTCCCTACCAGCAGTCTGAGGAGGCAAAGGATTGGCTCTCACACCAGAAATGCATCTTACCTGGAACTTGTCCATTTTACTCAGTTCTCTTGCTTTGTAGACATAGAGAGGTTGGAATGGATAGAGAGTAGAAGAAGTTGGAAGAGATGTTGACACTATCCTTCATCATGACATTACTAAAATTAACAAAAATTTGCTGTTGTTGTTCAGTTCTTTCTGACTCTTATTGACCGCATTTGGGGGTTTTTTAGAAAAGATATGGCAGTGGTTTGTCATTTCCTTCTCCAGCTCATTTTACAGATGAGAAAACTGAGGCAAATAGAGTTAAGTGACTTGCCCAGGGTCATACAGCTAGTAGTGTTTGAGGCTTGATTTGATCACAGGTCTTCCTGACTTCAGGACTGGTGCTCTATCCACTATGCCACCTAGCTGCCCATAACAAAAATACAGGTGTATTGCCATGCTACTTAAATTCTTTACCACTACAAAAAGAGCTGCTATAAATATTTTCATTCATATAGATCCTTCTCCTTTTTTTTTTTGATTTCTTTGGGATATAGACATAATAGTGCTATTGCTGGATCAAAGGGTATGTGTAGTTTTATAGCCCTGTGGGCATAGTTCCAAATTGCTCTTCAGAATTGTTGGACCGGTTTTCAACTCTACTAATAGTTCATTAGTATACCTATTTTCCCTTGTCCTCTCCAGCACTTGTCATTTCTGATAGGTGTGAGATGATACCTCAAAGTTGTTTTGATTTACATTTTTTCTAATCAATCATGATTTAGAGTATTTTTTTTTTCATATGACTATAGCTAGAGGCTATTTTCAGAGCTAGTTCTGGTGGTCTGCAAGTTTTCAGCACTTCCAAGGTGGTGTGATCCAGGGAGAGGTGTGGTCATTGTTCTCGTGGTCTGCACTCTTGTCTTTGAACAGGAAGGGGCCCCTGTTCTCCGGCAGCTAAATGCATTAGTATCCCTCTTGGACCTGGAACTATGACCAGGTCCTCTGCTCTCCTGAAGCTGCCTGGTAGTGTTGCTCTCTGCCTTGAAAATGTGACCAGTGCCGCTGCTCCCTTGTGACTGAATATAAGCAATTCTCTCTGCCCTGGAACTGCAACCCAGAACTGAGTATGGACAATAGAGTTGCCAAACAGCACTAGCTACACCCAGTGCCTACAAAGGGTCTCCTGTAATCTCTTTGTGACCAATTGTCTGACCCACTTACTGTCTGTGCGCTGAGAGATCCTGAAGCTAGATGCTTCTACTGCTTTGACTGCTCTGCCATATGTGTGTCCTCCACTCCAGTGCCATAGAACTTCACTGCTGACCTCCTAAGCCTTCTTAGGCCAGAAAAATGTCTCCCCTTGACCTTTGTTGGATCTGCCACTCCAAAATTTGATTTAGCTGTTATTTGAAAGTTGTTTAGAAGGCAGTGTTGACAGAATTCAACAAGGATGCTACTGCTAATGCACCATTGAGGCTTTCAGTGATGTGTGATGAAGTGGCTTCAAAAAGAAAACAGAAGAAAGGATGCTGAAGACTTGTTGACAGTTTCCTATGGAATAAAATAAATTTGATTGCGTGTCTTTACTTGATCTTTAACTGTATCTGGCTGCAGACATTCATTTTTAGCCCCACAAGGGTTTAATTGTTAAGTTCTCTGTGTTATCTCTAAAGAATGACTTCTCTTAGAAAACTGACACGTAAGACAATGTGCACAGTACTGAGGAAAAAGTGTACATTATTATCATTATCATTATCATTCTTGTTACTTTATGAGTATGATCATTGCTTTGGAACTTAGTACCACAAGAAGAGAACTGTTTGAATTGCATTTCATTGCTAAAATTGGTCACCCTTCAATTCATGAAAGACTATGTCTATGTAATTTTCACAATATATGACTACACCATGTAAACAAAACACATAGCTTGTCAGAGCATGAAATTAAACAAGATGAAGAAAATCTGTCTTTCTATTTTTCTTATTAAAGTATGGTTTTGCTTCAAATCATACTTTCAACGGAATAGACATCATGATTTCTGGTGATGCATTTAGAAAACTACAACTATCATCATCATTTTGAGTCAACCAATACTATAGTTAAGTGTTAGGCATTATGTTAGGAACTGAGAATACAAAGAAAAAAATCAAAAATCCTCTGTTCCCAAGATGCTTACATTGTATCAGAGATGACATGTATACATATAAGAATATACAAAATGAATCTGAGGTAATTTCAAGCATTATCAGCTAAGGACATCAGGAGTCCCATGCAGATGCATTTGATTTTAGAAGGAAACCCAGGATTCTAAGAGGATAAAGTAGGGATTGAAAGAGAAGAAATTCAAAGCATGAGGACAGCTTGTTCAAAAGGCATGGAGATGAGAGATGGAATTTTATATATAAAGAACAGCAAGCTGTTCCTTAGAATGTGTGAAGGAACCTAATGTATAATAAACCTAGAAAAATAGATTCAAACAAGGTTTTGGATGTCTTTAAATGCAATAGTTCATATTTCATCCTAGACCTAATAGATGGCCACTGTAATTTTCTATGGAGTGCAGTGATCAAGTAAGACCAATGCCTTGGGAATATCATTCTGGCAGCTGAAGGGAAAAGGGAAGGCCTTGTATCAGGTTGACCAATTAGGCTGTTGCAAGTATCTAGTGGAGAGGTGATGGAGGGTGAAGTAGATTGATGGCTATGTGAGTAGAAAGGAGACAGATACATGAAAAGTTGTGGAGGTGGAATTAGAAAGACTTGGAAACAGATTAATTATGTGGGATGAGAAGGTGAGGATAGTTCCAAGATTACAAATATACATGATTGGAAGCATGCTGGTACCCTCAAAAGAATTAAGGTAAATGCAGAAGCTCCTCAGTATCATTAACAGCTTTGAGATGAAGTAATAATGGAGACTGATCTCCTGATTGCTGAGTCCCTAGCTAGTATTATCATTTCTTGAGGGGCCCCAGTCATGACCACTCCACTCCCAGCTCAATTCATTCTCTGGATTGCTTCATTTTCTCAAAAATTTTGTACTTCCTCCTTACTATCACCCCCTTCCCTTCATGTTTTGTCTTCCCCTATTTGAATATATGCTCCATGAAAATAGGGACCATATTTTTTCCCTTGTATTTATAAGAATCGAGTATTATTGTATTATATTATTTCTTACAGTTTCTTATATCCCCAGCACTTAGCACAGTTCTTGATACACAGTAAGTGATTAATAAATGCTCACTTTATCTACCTATCTAATCTATCTATCTATTGTTTTAGGGGAGAAGTTCTGTTTTGGACCCATAGAGTTACAATTGCCTGAGGGGTGTTCAATTTGAAATGTTAAATAGGCAGCTGGTGTTGCAGGATTGGAAGGGTGAGTCAAACTAGCTGTGTGATCCTGGGCCAGTCACTTCACCCTGTTTGCCTCAGTTCCTCATCTGTAAAATGAGCTATAAAAGGAAATGGCAAATCACTCGAGTACCTTTGCCAAGAAAACCCCAAATGGAGTCACAAAAGGTCAGACATGACCAAAAAATGACTGAACAATAACTGATAAAGTACTGGAGTATAGGACGGAAACTAGGGCTAGATATAGAAATCTGGGATTCATTTGCATAAGATAATTGAACCCATGAGATATGATGAGTACATAAGGGAAAGAAAAAAGAGAGAGAAGAGAATAGGTCCCAGAACAGAGTCTTAAGGCATACCTACAGTTTAGGGCTGATAACGAAATAATACAACAAAGGAGAATGAGAAGGCATAGTCGAAAGATAAGAGAAAAACCAAAAGAGAGCAGTGTCATGGAAAACTCAAAGAGGAGAGAGAATCCAGGAAAGGTCATTCAATAGTGTCAAATGCCGAGGAGAGATTGGGCATTTTGGATTTGGCAAATCCATCAGATTTGGAAAATAAGAGATCATTAGTACCTTTGGCAAATGAACACTTTCAGCTGAGTAAAACATTTTCAGTTGAGCAATAAGGTCTCAAGACAGCTCTCAAGGAGTTAATAAGTAAGCAAAAAGTGAAGCCATAGAGGCAGTGATTGTAGGTAGCTTTATAATGATCATGGGACAGCATAGAGTCAAAATGGACCTCAGTACTTTCCACCCAGTCCAACCTTCTTATTTTTGAGTGGCCATCCACTCCAGAAAGATGAAATGAATTGCCCAAAGTCACTAGGGTAGTAAATGGCAAGAGTACTAATAATAACATGTTACATTTTCTGTTTCATGGGTTGTTATGGCTAAAGAATTCATCATCAATTAAGCTGGAACTTGAATTTGGGTCTTCCATTTTCAAGTCTACTGTCCTTTCCAGTAGGCAATGCTGTCTCTTTTAATTTTATGTAAGACTATGGCATCAAAAAGACCTAAAATGCTCTGTAATTACAGAAGGAAAAGAGTGTGGAAAGGTAGGAATGTTAAAAGAAGAGAGGATAGAGAATAGGAAGAAAGGGAAGATGAAGGAGGTCAGATAAGAGGAAGAAAAGGAAGGAGCCACATATGACCAATTCTCAGTGGATCAGAAGGGAACAGAAGGGAGAAAAATGAGAAAGGGAAGGAAGCAAAAGGAAGGAAAGAAAAGGGAATGAAGGAAAGTAAAAGTGGGAAATTAAAAGGAAAATGGCTGAAGGGCTAGGGTACAGAGAGAGCAATTCAGTTTCCTTTCCTCGGAGGTATGTGGCAGGGAACACCTGAAACAATCTAGGCAAAGAGCCATCTGGAATTAAAGTGAAGGTAGGGAAGGGATTAGAAGGAAAAGACTTTTCAAAAATGCCTTGACTCTTTGAAAGGATTTTCTGGATCAACCTGCTTAAAGAGCAACTTTTGTCACCACTTTTCTTCACTTTGGCATGAACACATCAAGGGTGAGGTCACTGATTGTTTGGCTTACATTGTTTGGATGTCAGTAGGTTTCTGTGAGATTGGGTTCACTCAATAGCAGTGACACTTTTTGGTTTTTCTTAAGGATAGAATCAGACTAAAGCTTTATTTTCTATAGAAAGTGGTGAGTCAAAGACAATCATGTGTTTAGATATTTTCAGTGCAAGATTGGAAGACTGCATTTGTTTTCACTTGAATATTTTTGTTTAGTCCTCTTCCTGGTGTAGGTGGAGTATATCACTTGTAGTAAAAGGCAATGTTCAGTCTTCATGGTGTAAACTCTTGTAGGTTTGTGATTTATGCATTATTCGATCATTAAGTAAAGATTGAATACCTACAGAGGAGTTGAGGCAGTCAGAAAAGCAGCACATAAGCAACAAAGACTTCAAAAGTAATAAGTCAGGTCAGGCATAAAACAGTAAGAGTTATTTTTCCTTAAAAAAAAAACTGCAAATGTCTCAGGTTGTGTTAATATGATTAAAGGAGCAAGTTATAACCCAAGGGCTTCAAATGACCAATTCACAGAAGTATATTTCAGGCTTTGAATTTTTCAGATGTCTCACTTGGGACATTCCAAATACTTTTGATGACAGAGATTTCTATGCCAAATAGGCTTCCTCATTCAAAAACATTTCCTGTTTCCTGACTCACCAGGAAGGGCACTGAGGCTGGCACTGCCCTTTCAACTTTAAGAAACAATTACTTCTCCATTTTTATTTTTTTTTTTGCCAGTGAATCTTTTGCTCTCTACAAAGACTGGAGAATCATCTTTTATTTGTGTATTAATAGGTTTCTTCTCATTTTGATTATCTTTATTTCCTTCTAAATTTTCTTTCCTCCTGTTCTAAATTGAAATCTATTTGTAGACTAATATAGAGAACACAAAAGTGGGAGTCAGAGAACTTGAATTCTAGTCCCAGCTCAGTCACTATCTAAATATGAGGACATAGCCTCTGGGCCTTGGTTTTATCACCTGTAAAATGAAGTTGGATTAGATAACCTGCTTATTCCCCTCCCCCCATGTATAAAACCCTATGATTTTATGATTTTATGACTTGTTGGCTAAGAACCAAATAGATGAAATGAGTTAAACTATAAAACCAAAAAGTTCAGAACTTCTATAGGAAAATTAGTCCTTTAAGTAGGATATGAAATAATGATAACGATGATAGCTAATAATTTCTGGTGGTTTATTCGTGTTTTTTACAGTCTTTTGGTTTATAAAGCATGTTTCTCATGACAACTTGGAAAATTAGATAACTATAATAAGTAATCAATAGAATGGTGATCAATATCTTCATCAAAATAGAGGATAGCTCATGAATTATATTCTTAATTTAAAAAAACTATCATTTGAGGGACAAGGTAACTTTGGGGAGAAAAATCAAATGTCTTAAAATGCAAATGTCTTAAAAGCAAATTGTAATTCCCCCCAAATTAAAAAAAAAATAGAAAGGTCCTGAGTTTAAGCTGACAGAATTAAAATAATATTTTTCCTACTACACAAAACAGTTCCCATTAGTATAATGCTTTATGGTTTACAAAATGTTTTCTTCACAACTTCATAAGGTAAAAACCACAAGTAATATATATATATGCATATATACCTGCTCTACAGATAAGGAAACTGGATTTCAAATAAATTACATTACTTGCTCAAGGTTACAGAATTAGTGAGGGTCAGGGCCAGACTCCCCACCCAGGTCTTCTAATTCTTTGAGCAGGCAACGTTCCTTCCTTTACCCTAAGTGCCTTTCTATCTCACGTACAATGTCTGTGTTTTCTTTCAAGACCACCAAGACTGGGCTCCAGAAATTTCCCTATGAATCCTTGGGTGATTGGCCTTACTGTTGTGGCTGTAGTTTTGGTTCTGGCACTTGTCATTGCTCTCCCTGTTCATTTTTTAGTATGCGGTAAGTATTAATTTATGCTTATTTTGTCAATCTTGTTACATAATTTCCTTCCATTTCATCACCATAGCATTTTCTATGATTTCAAAATTCAATTATCATCCAAATTAATATAGTTATACTTAGAAAGTGACAAGTCTATAAATAACAACTTCCATTTGATTTAAACACTATGGTTTATTTCATATAATATCTCCATACATATCTCATATATTAGTATTTCATATATTGATATTACTATGTAATGATATCTCATATAATGAGGTTGCCACACAATGATATCTCCTGCCAAATGGGACACCAAGTATTAGTGTTCTCAGCTCCCACATTTTTCCCAGTAGTGTGATCATCAGATTGCATAATTTAATAATTCTGATGGTCAGCATGGCATAGTCATTAGAAAGTGTCTTCAAAACCAGAAAGACCTGAGTTCAAGTCCTGCATCTTACACATACTGGCTATGTGATCCTGGGCAAAACATATAACCTTTCAATGCTCCTGGCAATTTGCTAAGATCAGTGCTGGTAGTGAGAGTTTCCTCACCTAAGAGTTCCCTATTAGAATGAAATCACATGTTTAGTCCCTTCTCTGAAGCTTACAATTCAACCTAATACACACCCTGATCTTTAGAGACAGCTATTAGACTCTCCTGTGATCTACCATATTCATGTGGCTATTCAAATTTTCACCATTCTCCCAGTGTTCCCTTATCCCAGTCACCAGGGGCCACGTATCCAAGTTGGGTACTTCCCCACAAATGTACTATTTCAAGTTGTTACACACCAAAGGTTTTTTGGAAAATTCAGCTTTTATTGACCACTGTAATCTTTATACCAGTTTGCAAACTGCTAATTTTAGAACTGAAATGTATGCACTCAAAGGATGTACCACTAGCCTTGCTTAGGAATGCGTGAATATACTAGAAGTGGGGCTCATACTTTTAATCAGTGCTCCTTGGGAGACTGAGGCTGATGGACTTCTAGAGCTTGGTAGTTCTGATCTGATCTGATCTGAAGTGGGTCAAATCTATCAGGTATCCATAATAAGCCTGTGAGAAATATGGTAACCCACCAATTTGCCCAAAGAGGGGAAAACTAGCCTAGGTTGGAAAAACAGAATAGGTCAAAGTTTCTCAGCCAATCAGAATGGAACTGATTTTATGAATAGTCCCTAAACTTCCAGCCTGAATGAGATAGGGAGTCCTATTCTTAAGAAAGAAATGAAAGAAAGAGAGAGAGAGAGAAAGAGAAAGAGAGAGAAAGAGAGAGAGAGAGAGAGAGAGAGAAAGAAAGAAAGAAAGAAAGAAAGAAAGAAAGAAAGAAAGAAAGA